ATGTATATAGTATTTAAAAAATGCATATTTTTTTCATGGAAATGGAACTTCAGATTGTGTGCATCTGGGTTGTGACACCCTGTGGCCTTGGATGAGATTCCAACATTTTGTAGGAATATGCTGCTTCCATCTTCAGGGTTGAGGTGATTCAGATTTGTGAAATAGGCAGGATGACACAAGGACGAGGGAGGGAGGAAAAGCCCTGTACAGGTCAATAAAAACAGTGTTTCAGAATTGTGAGAAAGTAACCTCTCATGGTCACAGAAATGTGGCATGGATGATGGTCACTCATAACACAGCAGAGGAAAGGGGGGGGGGGATGGGGCCTTGCATGAGCCAATGGGGAGCATTGAGCTAGAACTATAAGAAACTGCTCTTTAGTGTCATGGGGATGAGATTGTCTTGCCCCTACAGTGAACCATCTTTCAGTCTGTCAGGGTGTGAATGAGAGGCTTCTACAACGTGCTAAGAGAGAATCCTTCGTTCCTACTCATGTTATTGGGGTGGAGATCACACTCAGTCACTTCCTTTATGATCTGATCTCTCCATCTATATTTCTTGGCCAGAATTCTGTTCTCATTAAATGAGATGTTGTGACCTTGGTTGCTTACGTGTACAGCCACCTTTTATTTCTCCTACTTAGAGAGTTAGGTGTTTTGATGGTGTTCATTTACTCTGGTCTCAATGGAGCATCTGGTTTGTCCATTGTACATCTTTCGACATTTGCAGGAGATGCTTATATATGCCTGATTCCACCTGACATACGTAGCATCACCTGTGAGTACTAGTTGAAATGGTTAGCAATAATCTCATGCCACTTCATCACTCTAGTCACACTTGAGAAAAAGACACTCAGTAAGTTCCTGAGATGTTTATGATGTGTCAAAGCTAAGTATTTATAATTGTATTTTCATTTTTATTTTACAGTCAGATGTTGTTCATCTGATAAAATAAAAACTAAAATGTAACTTGAAATGATGTTATGGAGTGGATTCTAATACTGGCACTGAATGAAGTGGAACTCTTGTTAGGTGTACCTTGATTTAAGGTCTTCCCTCTTTTAATGTTTCCATATGGCTCAGGACAGGGATCAATGGTGGGTTCTTGTGATCATGGTAATTAACCTTTGGGTTCCATGAACTGTCAGGAAATTCTTGAATAGCAGAGTGACTGATGGCTCTCCAAGAAGGACTCAACTTCATGGAGTTGGTTTTAGTTAGTAAAACCTATCCCTGTATCAGGTTGTGTAGGCCCATAGGGTTGTGAGATGTTGTGGGATTGTCGATGTTCTAAAAGACAACCACGTAAAACTGTAACAATTGTATATATTAAATTGTATATATTGAATGTACAGAATAGATGTGAAGCTATGTGGAATGTCGATGTTCAAAAGTTGGCTGGCCTTGAAAAAGGCAGTTTGTTCCGACGTGAGTGCGCTGGCAGAATTTGCGCCTTTGTAGTAGACCGAGTCTTTATGGCTGTTCAACTGGTTTGTCCGGCTGGTGATGTGGTGCTGCATGCACTGGTAGGAACAGCTGCCTATGCCTATGCCTTTTATACCATGCTTGCTGGGTGGAGCTTAAACTTACCATTGCGATTGGGAGTAATGATTGGCTAGCACGCGCTATGATGTAAAGGTGGACTGGACAGGGAGTGCTGTATAAATATGAGCGTTGGCAGCAATATGATATTGACTAGGAGTTGAGTGCTGTCTGTTAGACCAGCGAAACCCATGTTAGTATGTGGGATGTTCCCACAATGTCAAGGCCCCCATATTTTCTACACAGTCGGCTAATAGATGGCAGTGAGGTTGTTGGTCTTACTCATCTGCCACTCTTTATCCCTAGGAGGGTTCCTGGTACTCATTTCTGTTAGATGCAGAATTGACCCCAGGGCCATAGTGTGGCTGGAAAAATTAACAGATGTTCAATTTCAATGGACACATGTCGTTAATCTCAGTGTTAAATTTCCTCAGTTAAAGATTTTCCTAAATTAAGTGTTGTCTCACTCTCCCTAAAGTAAGCTTAAATAGGGGTTTGACTGTATTTCTGTTTCTAGTAGAAATCAAATCCTGGCTTCCCAGTCCATAGGCAATGCTTTATATATAAACTGAACTACCATGGTCATTCTGTAATACAGGATTATATTTTATAATTCTGATGGGAGGTTTATGGCCATGATTATTAAGTTTTATTTTCAATGAGTGTCATGGCTGGTTGCTGGACAACTTTCTTGTCACATGACTATTCATCAACAAAACTTATAATGTACTTTGTCTCATAAGAAAAGTCATATCACAAAAATAGCAAGAAAAAGGAAGTGTCTTTCTTATATAAATCAAAGTTTTTTAAGGATTTAATCGTTTACACTTAAAAAGTTGAAGGTTTGGTTCTGGTTTACATTTCACTTTTTAACATGTATAATTTATGACACTCCATCCACTTCTGCTTTTGTTTGATGTTGTAAAACAGGCCTTGAAGTTTATGCAAGAGTTCTGAATCATCACAGTGATGTACTAAACATCATGATATAATCGGAATCAACCCAGTGCAGTTCCTTGTCTTATAACCTTGAAATTAATATGGTTACTGGCACATGGATTATTAACCAGGAAACTGTAGTCAAAGAGGTATCCAATCTCTTTGTCATTTGTTATATATAGAACTGCATATTTTCTTTGAATTGTCTCATTCAACTTGTTACTGCAGTCTGGTTTGAATGTTGGCATCATAAGTGTACAGAAGTTTCTTCTAATTCCTATGGAGAGAGATGACAATATTTTTTTTAGATTAGGATCAGTCTACTGTAAAGCTTTTACTTTCAAAGGAGAGCATAGAAATTCCCAATAAACATGCATGTTTTGAGAGGAATTTGAAACCACAGCCCCAGAGTTTATCTGGCCTAAGAGTGCAAACTACATAAAAATACATCTTCGCATTGTGAAGGTACTCAGTTGATTCTCTTACCAGAGACCAAGTGCCTTGAGACTCTTAATGGCTCTCCTGATACCTCCCTGATGGTGAATTTCAGCATAGTCCCTTAAAACAGATCGTTACTGCTTCTTTTGATGCCTCTGTTATTAATTTTCATTGGATTTGATTTTTTTTTCTCCTGCAGATGTTATATAATATAAGCCTACTGAATGAGAAAATTGTAAACTACAGCCAGAGAGCAGGGAGGGAAGTGATCATTGCCTACCAGATGTAATTAGAATATAGGTACATAAAATTAGTTCCTGTCCTTCTGCATCCTTCCTGATCAAGGACTCAGTATTCTAACAACTTTGGATTCAGACTGATATCTCATATTATCTGGCATACTTGGGTAATCATTTATAGTGTAGATACTGAATATCAGTGTTTACTTAATGACAAGTCAACTGGAAACAATGGAACATGTGTTGCAAAGTGAAATAATTGTTTTATGATACCACAAAAATATCACTGTCTGGGCTAATGGCATGACTTCAATTTAAAATGAGGTTCCAAGGCCTGTCATCCTGACTGAAGTCTCATTGTCTTCCATCATGGCCATTTCGTCCCTGGTCTCTCCAGTTCATACTTCTTAATGTTATGCTATTGTCTTTCAGGAAGTCCTGTAAGAAATAAGTAGAGACATAACTGTTCAGGTAGTAATGTGCCCAGCTGCAGACTGGATGATCACAATTCATTTTCTGGTAGGAGTGGGGCTTCTTCTTCTTCAGGTTGTGGTTCTTTGCGTTATGACACTATGTAGTATTGAATGTGATTACCAGATCTCATTTAAACATTTTTGTCTCCGCTGCCTTGTTCAGACTGGCTGTTGGGATCCAGTCCATTAGAGCAGACATTTGTCTACACGCCACATATACAGATGCCTGATATAATGTGTAGGCACAGAGAGAACTTGATTTTAATTTACCTGTAACAACATGGATCATATTTTTTATTACTTGTTTTGTAAATATTATTCCTAAGATACAGTCATATTCTGAACTTCTTAATTTCGGGCATTGAGTAGTGAGTACTGTGTTGAGGAGAGTGGCGGCGGGGGGGGGACAAGCACAGATCTCTGCTAGGTAATATGGGGCATCACACAGCTTTTGCATAAGTTCATAGGTTCAGGTGCTTTTGACATTAGATATTGTAATGAGATATTCGTATTCATTATACAAAATTTTAAATTCAACTTCTTATGTGGCAGCAGTATTGTTTTTAAGGCCACTGAGAGGACCAAGGTGTAGGTGGGTGGACAATATTAAAATGGATCTTAGAGAAATAGGATGGGATGGTATGGATTGGATTGGTCTGGCTCAAGATGGAGTCCAGTGGATGGCTCTTGTGAACATGGTAAGGAACCTTGGGATTCCATAAAATGTTGGGAAATTCTTGAGTATCTGCAGAATTGGCGGCTCCTCCAGAAGGGCTCAGCTCCATGAATAAATAAATAAGTAGTATTGGTTTTAATGAGGCTGCTAAATTCGTAGTACTGATTATGGGAAATTCGGATTTATGAACATAGAGGCCTCTGCTGGAACTGTATTTATACAAAGTTTCATTTAAATCATTAAGTTGCCTGTGAAAGAGTTTGAACACATGCACTCACACTCACTCACACGTAGACATGATAGTGCCACGTGCTTGCTTTCTTTACATAATAATTAAAGCGAACTAAACCACAGTTTTAGTAAAATATCTGTAATATAAAAACACCTAAAGCTGGCCGTTTGAGGACGAAACATGTAGTGTTGAAGTGTAGAATGTAAAAGTGTTGCAAATTTGACAGAAGATAAACAATGGATGCTAATTTGATCTAAACCAAATTAATGTTGCATTTTTCATGTTTTCATAATTGTTTAGAAATAAGAAAATTAAGTGTATATCCTTCTTGGTTTTAATACCATGTCTCTGAACTACATTCTGTTAGAACCAAGTAGACAGTACCCTCCACAGTCACCCAAGTGAGAACCTCAAATCTAACAAGAAGAAAACTTACTGATGTTAATTCCTTTTATTTTACAGCTGTTGGAGCAAGACCGACATTCCTTGAGACGAAAGCTTGAGTCTACACAGTCAGAATGTGACACAAGACTGCTTGAGCTTCAAGTAGACATCAGGGAGCTTAATCAAACATTAGCAGAACGAGAGTCAGCCCTTAAACAGACTGAGCGGGAGAAAGCAACTCTCATTGCTGAACTGACAGAGCAGAACCAGCGGCTCACAAATCAGCTCAAAGAAGTAAGAATGTTGGGATTAATCTTGTTAAGAGACTCTCTCCTCAAGCAGATTTTATTTAATTAAAATTACATCTATTTGGTTTCAGTTGTTATCAACCTCCTTTCATGTCCAAGATCATATATCCTGTTGAACACATAGAAATGTTTTATTATTGACATGTGATTTATTTAGATTATTGGCATAGCCTGTTAAAATTTCAATAGGAAACTCTTATAAATTTTTGATGGACAATTTGAAATCTTAAGGAAAGACATATCAACTCTACACCAAGATAATAAACATTGTATGGCTATCCTTCCACATGCTTTACAATATATCATCCTTACCATTTGATGTTCTGTGATGTAAGCAGTTGTAAGACTTCATTAAATAACACAAGAATCAAACAAGTTCTGGCATATCCATGTACAACATGCATTCCAATCATTGCCAGTGGGAAAAATCTATAAAACATATAGGAGAACATTTCGATCGAAGAGGGCTAAGTGATGTAAGGTTGGAGAAATCTACATAATGAAGAGCTTTATAACTTGCACTCTTCACCAAGTATAATTAGAACGATGAAGTCAAGGAGGATGAGATGGACAGGGCATGTAGCATGAATGGGGAAATGAGGAATGCATATAGGATATTGGTTGGAAAACCAGAAGGAAAGGAACTACTAGGAAGACCAAAACGTAGGTGAGTGAACAATATTAAAATGGACCTGAGAGATGTAGGATGGGATGGTATGGACTGGATTGATCTGGCTGAGGGCAAAGACCAGTGGAGGCCTCTTGTGAATACGGTAATGAACCGTTGGGTTCAACAAAATGCTGGGAAGTTCTTGAGTAGCTGCACAATTAGCGGCTTCTCAAGAAGGGCTCAGCTCCATGAATTAGCAAGTGAGTGAGTGAGTGAGTGAGTGAGTGAGTGAGTGAGTGACAATTTTACTAGTGTATGTAATAAAAGAGATTAATTAAAAGCATAGAAGGGACTTGTCTCTTACCATCTGTAAAAATACAGTGAAATCTATTTTTTTTTTTTTAAATTCTGTGGAACAGAATATTCTTTTGTTCCAGTCGAATTTTCATTTATCAGATGTTCCTAGCTTAAAAATATTACACAATACAGATTACATGCATTTATGACCCATATCATAAAGAAAAATATTCATTCTAAATACCGAAAAAAATACAACTTAAGTGTTTAATAATCTGTATCTCCATATAACATATTACAGTCACATATGTAATGCATATTTTTGGATATTTATAACAAGAGTTAAATGAGAAAGTCTTCTTGTTTTATGTGCAACAGTCTAGTCGTCAAGAAGAACAGCTGACAGCACAGCTTCAAGGCCTGCGAGACCAGTGCAATCTCAAAAAGTCCAGTCTTCAGGACCATGTGAGCAGCCTTGAGGTGCTTAGAGATGAGGTACATATCCACATTCCAGACAGTACATTCATACTGATGCTTGAGCACTTCAGGTTACTTGTAATTTCTCAACTTAAGTCATAAATATCATGTATATGGTAAGTAGAGAAAACTGACCCTTCACTTCCATCTAGTGTCAATACTGAGAATGTATGGAGCTTTATTGCTCTTCCTTTATATGCCTTTATGTTGTGGTGCTTAAGGTCAGGAGTAATATACATAATAATACTGTATTGCACCCCAAATTTCACTCCCCTCAGATTCAGAACACTGATGATGAATGTGGAAAGCCCTGAAGTTACCCCCAAAAAACAAGTGAATTGCAGGTCTTTTATAATCTTATGTCAAATACTGCAGCAGTATAAAATAAAAGGGGGGGGGGAGAGTGTATGTGTTTATGCATGTGAAGTTAGGTGCATTAGAAGAGGACCAGACAGATAAATGTGAAGAAAGACTTACATGCAAGTTTTAATCTTATTTTATTTACAACCCATAATTTATATACTTATAAATTAGGTTTTGGATTTTTTCTTGTTCTTGGTTTAGGAACACTAAAATGTTGCAATGTGCATCAATGTTTATGCTTGCACAAGCTCTTCATAAATGTTACCAGTAATTTACAAATGAATAGTTAGATGCTGAAACTTTGTGGTATAATTTACAAAATTTATTATACACAAAGTGTATGGCATGTAATAATTTTGTGTTTGCCAGCCACAATATTTTGCTCATTGGGCAACGTACATTATTTCTAGGCCCAGCCTATAGTGTTGAGATTGCTACCATTATTATTAAATAGTACATTACTCAGAAGTATTTAGAGATGCTTACAGTACTTTAAATTCTGTGGAACTCAGGTTAAAAAGACCCTTTTGTTAATGTGTTGAACATTTTGATTCCAGGCTCAGAGACTATTACATGAAACTCAAACTAATACATATTTATACATTCCCTGCATAGATACACCTCATGTCTGAGAAGAAATGTGAACTAGAGCGGAGGTTGCAGTCACTATTAAGTGAGAGAGAGAGCCTCAGTTTAGCTCTTGATGAAGCTACAGACCGTATTGTCATGTTGGAACACCAAGCTCGAGGACAAGAACTCCAGGTATTATTTTATGAGTATTAAAATCAGATTTGTTATTTCTGAACTGCCTTATCTCTTTTGTTGCATTATGTCTTTCCTGAGAGGTCATTTGTTTATTAAAACTTGGCTGATCCTCACAAAGGGGTGACCTCGGCTGCATGTAGCATATATCTAATTGGCATTTCAGTGCAAGGAAATTATTTACACGTGATTTTGTGGTGTTTACAAAAGAAAATTTTGATCATAAAATGAATAAAAGTGAATAGTCGAAAATTACAATACATTTTCATTTGGCACTGATAATTATGTTATTAAACATTGTGAGGTGTATTATTTCTTTTCAATTCCAGCTGCGCCAAGCTCAGCGTGAGCTTGAGGAGTTGCGGGTCACAAATGGTTCACTTGGTGAGAGAATTGAGGTACTGTCAGCCCATAGTTCCTCTCCGGGACCTCGTTCACTTCTGCATGAGATGGAGTGTGATGATGCTAGCAGTGAATCTGAACTGATACTCCATAGTGACAACAGTTCCGAGCAACTGGATGGGGTAAGTTGCATGCAGGGAGCTCCCTGATTCTTAGGTTATAATAAGATAAATAAGTATAGAATTCATGATTTCCATTGTATGGCACTGAGGTAACTGATATAACAGTATAATTCTGTGCCTGTATTTGATATGTACCCAAACTCTTAGCTGGGTTCCCAGATACCATGACTTCTATTTTTAATATTTTTTCTTTGTCTCTTCAGGTAGATTGTATGACAGCGTCTTCAAGTAGGTCATGAACACCTTCCAAATCTGTATCAAGTTACCATTCATGTTTATTTCCTGATCTCTTTTGGATCTATATAACCTTAAAGCAAATTTTGCAAAATACTTCTTCTGAACACTGATCATGGCTATTTCAAAATTACATTCTACCATAACCTTTCTAGAATCATCTTGTTTATGACACCATGTAGTTTCACAGATGGTTACCAGTGCTTTAGAGGAACCTTCTTCCTCCATTTTCCTGTTGCTCACTTGTGGTACTACTTCTTGTATTAAACCAGATGATTACAGGCTAAACTGTAACTGCCATGTGTAGTCATACACATGTTTTGATAAGCTGTGCACCAGCCTTTAGGTAGCATGTTCCCTCGAAACATTATTAAACTACACAGTGTCACATCCCAGAAGAATGTATGTACTTTTTAAGTTCAGCTAGTTTACATGTTGGTCAACAGATACCTGTACAGAGGTTATTTAATAATTTTGGTACATTTATTATGGAACATTTCAAGTAATTTTCTATGAGTAGTAAGTATCAAAATAATGCACTTAAAAGGTTAAGAATATGCCAGAACCAGTTGAAATGATGTCTGTTTTCTGTTTACAGTTCCGGAAGGAAGTTCTATTAGCATATCAGCAGCTTAGAATGGCTTGTGATAGACTACGCCACAGCAGAGGAGACTCAATAAGTTCAGACATGGAGTCTATGCCTAGTGAAGACATATCTCCCAGTAAACTGAAGGTGTGTAAAGATTCGTCATATTGTTATTGTTAAGTTTATTTTGATTTATAACATATTTTGCCATTCCATGCATACAGAATTTGTTTTGAGTATCATGTTTGAATTCAGGGTCTTATTAAACAGGACAGTTACCCTGAGAAAAATGTTCTTTTGTTAAGTGCTTCATATTTATGGAATGCAATGTTGTATTGTACTTGTAACTGTTTTAAAAACAGAAAGAAAAATTTAAATTTTACTGAAACTCTTATAAAGAATATAATTTAGTTGATCAGAGCAAAGCCTCAGAGGAACGTTACATGTGAATCATGTGGTCATACATTATTTTCTGAGATTTTTGTAAGTATAATAAACTTCTGAAACAATGACACTTGATTGCCAGGTTGGCCTGTTGTCAGAGGTTGTGAAGGAACTGTCCAGGTTGATCCAGGAAGTTCTGAGCAGGAGAGAGTCTCGACCCAGTTCATCATCCAGCAGTGGTATTGACCTGGAGCTGGAACTGGAGGCAGAGTTACATCGAGCCAATGAGAACTTGGAGAAGGTGCAGAGGCTACTTGATGACCGAGAGGATGAGCTCAAGAGAAGAACTGAGCAGGTCATGGAGCTCACTAGCAAGGTACAAAACTATTAAAGTTATTACCATCTTCATTGATAGGCAGCAGTCGCCTTTTCTGCCCCCATTGAAATTATTTAAAAACCATTCAGTTATTCCTTTGGGGGGAGGGCAGAACTTATGAAATAATTAATTTAATTCCTTCATATTTAATTCATTTTATATCAGTGGCTCCCAAGAAGAATACATATTGATAACACATTTCTTACACCATAAATATTATAGTACAAATTTACATACAGACACAAAAGTTGAAGTGTGTACTAAGTAGTGTGGTGTAGTGGTAATGCGACTGAGATGCAGTTCGGATTGTTAATTTGGTTTATTAACAACCTACAGGTTTTAACTACAAATAATTATCACACTCTTGCTGATTTACACAATTAACAATCACACCACACTGATCTCTTCAGTATATATCCACTAGTATTCATGGATGTATGACACAGGAACTAAATCACACACACCCAATACCATTGCACTGTAGCGCACGTAAAGTCTTCAAATCACACGCCCAGTTGTCACATGCTGACCTCCTGTTCTCTCCTGTACTCATGGTTTCAGTTTGCTCCTGCAGCTTATGACTGACTTGAATGTTGCTGCAGTCACTGAACTTGTTAAGTTAAAGTCAAAGTGACATTGCGACTGACGGTCAGTCAGTCAGTCAGTAAGTCTTGGTGTCAACTGTACAAGTAATATAATGTATAATTAGATGATCATATTCTCATCTAATTATACATTATATTGCTTGTACAGTTGAAATAGTTCCATGGATGATATGGGTGGTGCAACTGTATTTGTTTATTTGGGAAAAATGTTTTTTTTTTATATTTGAAGGCACTTCCAGGGAATAGGTTGTTACGCTGCTGGCATTGGTTCATTATCCAGGGACACCATTAGGTGACCCTCAGACTTCTCTCCTGTAACAGATTTATTCAACTTCAAGCATAACTGCAGAACTACCAGCTTCATAAAGAAACTGAATTAATGAGAATGGTTAAAAATAAATATCTCTACCACATTAAAGAGGCATGATGAAATAGAAACTGAACAATATTACACTTCTGATCAAAGTAGTTAATGGGTTCAACTGCATATTATGATGGTTGCCATCTGTTTAAGGGAAAAAATCGGCTATAAGAATATGCACCCTGAAATTTAGAAATGATTTGATTTCGTAATCATTAAAATACCATTATACTCTAAAATAGTTTATACTAATTGAAATAAAGAAGAAACTCTGAGAACAGGGTGTTAATCTAATTCTCCACACTTAATCACACCATAATAAACAGAAGAAATCCACATAGTGGCTGTATTTTTTGGGTAAAAGTAATACTGCATCCAGTAATATCTCTCCATAGTAACATTTCATAACTTTGATACTTTTTTTATTGCTAGTGGGGTGGGACCAAGTCGCTTGTACTGCACCCACTTCTGGCCTATTGTACCAGCCCCAGATGATAGGTGAGGGTGATTGTGGAACAATTGGTGGAATGAAGATTGGCAGGAGAAACCGAAGTACCTGCCCCAGCACCACTTTGTCCATCACAAATCCCACTTGACCAGACCCGGGATCAAACCCGGGCCGCTGTGGTGGGAAGCCAGCGACTAACCGCTTGAACTTTGATACTTACAAGCAGCTCTAATTTTCTATTACACTTCGCTGTGACATAAATGACTACTTCATTAAACACCTTAAATGAAGTAAATAACTCGATGGATAGATTCCTTCGTGATGTGAAGTGCCGTTACCTTGTTCATAAGATCCTGCCACTGGATTAGAGGAATTCAGTATACATCTTCACTCTATTTCTTTAAGACTTATTTTAATATTATATCCTCATCACTACCTAGGTCTCATAAGTAATCTGCATTGCTTATGGTTTCCTGATTAAAATTATATATGTATTTCTAATCTTTCCCATCCATACTACATTCTCTGCCCATTTCATCCTCCTAGGTTTGATCACTCTTATCAGTATTCGATAAAGAGTACAAATTATGAAGCTCCTCATTATGATTTTTTTTTTTCATTGTCTTGCTATTTCCTGTCTCTTAGGACTAAATATTCCCCTCAGCACTGTGGTCGCAAATACCCCACAAAAACTGAAGGGAGGATGTTATGTTCTATAGTCTGTTGTAGTGATTATTTTTAAACAACTTATAAAGATTCAGGTGTAGGGAGATGAGCCAAGTTATGGGGGTGTATGGCGGGAGGAAAGAAAGGGGACCACATGAACCAGAAATTCACAAAATGGGTATAATACAGATTATTAGATGTTGCTTTGTACATTCTGATTTTTTTTTTTTTGTGGAAGTGGATCATGGTGTGAGACAGTTTTAAAACCAGTTGTATATACTGGCTCTTTGCTGCAATGTTTTATTTAATCGCATTCTGATAATATCAGAGCAGTTAATTTAAATGCTCTTCCTTTTACTGTGCTTAGTACTAAGTGTGTCAGGAGACAATTTCATTATATTCTTCTATGTCACACACAGAAAATGATTAGGGATTTTAAATACCGTATTTACGCATGTATAGGCCGCACATTTTTTGCCAAAAATTGAAGAGGAAAACTGGGGTGCGGCTTATATTCGAAATATTCGAAATCACACTTCATTTAAAAAAATTATATTCATAATTAGTAATACAGAGTGTTCTACTCCTGAAATAATATTTCAAGAAAATTATTTTTTCTATAATTTCTGTCTGAAAATTGTGCTGCGGCCTATACACGCACGCGGCCTATACATGCGTAAATACGGTATTGTTCATACATTAAGTGAAAGATAATATTTGTCTTTTGTTATATGACAACATTTGGATGTTTTTGCAGCTGAGTGTGCGAGATGCAGAACTGTTGGGAATGACAGAGGAGCGGGACAGGGCACGCGGTGACTTAGAGGACACCCACCTTGCAAAGGACGAAGTGGTACGCAAGGCATGGGAGGTGCGTGATGCAGCTGTGGCAAGGAAGAATACAGTGGAAGTGGAACTTGCAAAGACTAGGATAGATGTTATGCAGGCTAACAGCCAGCTAATGGAAGCCATTCAACAGAAGGTTGAGTTGAGTCAGCAACTGGAACAGTGGCAGGTCAGTTGTTCTAATTTAATTTGTAACATTCATACTCTCTCAAGTTGAAACTCTATACAATCATTGATTGTTATGTAATTAAGTCCATGTAATAGGGTCTTCCTAGAGAAACTGATGCTTACTTAGCTTGTTATGAAGTACCTTTCTTAAGTGGAGGGAACATGATCATGCTGGCAGTAATTTATCATTAGACTAGGGTTCCCATAATATTTTTTTTTCTCAAAAAACTGGAATTTCCATTGTGTCCCATAAGAAATGGTACATTTAGTAAAAAAAAGGACATGATAAAAGTTAATAAAAACAAACAATCAGTAATACATTATAAATTAAACACTGAGAAATTGAAACATGCAAAAATCAGCTCAAAATATTTTGAGAGCAATAATGAAATTGCAGCAGTATGTTGCTAGGTGATATATGGAATATTTCATTATAAAGGCAAAGCTGTCCCTGTAACAGGCTGTAGAGGCGCATAGGATTGTGAGATGCTGAGGCTCCCACATTTTTCTAGACAGTTGGCTCACAGGTGGCAATGAGGTTGTCAGCCTTATGCACCGGCTACCCTTTACCCCCAGGAAGATTCCTGGTACTATTTTCTGTTAGAGGCTGTATCGACCCCAGGGCCATATTGCGGCTGGAAAGTTTAGGTCGATTGAAAAATCTAATGACCTCATCAGGAATTGAACCCATGACCTTCCATCTTGTAGCTTAATACCTCAACCAACTATGCTACAATGTGCCCCCAGTGTTTCATAATAGGACTGCTATATTCTGATCATCTTTATGCACCTTCCTTCTGTTTTGCAGTAGCATCCCATTGTTTGTTCCCTGAGTAATATGAGTTGAAATGGAACATGAACATCTTCAACATGAAGACATTTAGTGTAACATATGAATAAGAGAAGATATTTAAGACATTTCCTTCCCTTATAATATTATGCTTCATAATACCTGGAGCAGACCAACTAAGTCCACTACTGGGAAGGAAATTCTGACTTAAATTTATATTGTGACATGACAGCTGACAAGCCAGGAATAGTGGAATGCGTTGATGTGGCCATTGCTAGGCAATGACATGCTGAACAAATGCCCATGGCAACTGATATGTATGCAACAGTAGAAAAACTGTTGGAAGTGGTGTCTTCTATGCAGTTCATGCCAAGGCTATGTAGCGAGGACAAACAAGACAACAAACCCACAGCTGTGTGCTGTAATAAATATTCTGGGTCTTGGGCCGCAGGTGGGGCTTGATACCAAGACAGACTGATCGACTGACCATCTTTCATAATATAACTTTGCTTTGACTTTGAAGTAAGTTAGCCATGACACAGTAACCAGCCAGCAGAGACATGAACAGGGAAGTAGAGGAATATTCATTGCTAGGAGCTGTTACCAAATAATGACTGCTGGAGACATAGAAGACTTTATGTGTGCTGTAGTTAGAGTGGTTTTTAGCATGCGTAAACCAGTGAGAGCATGATAATGGTCTGTAGTTAGAAGTTATTGTAAGTGCTCAGTGAATCCAGTCATCAATCACACCCCATGTCTAATTATTAACACATGACAATATTAAGCTTCTGAATTGTAAATAATTGTTTTACCTATTCAATTAATGTAGAATTTGTATGGCTCAGTCAGTATGGGGACTGGGCTACAGGCTGGACAACTGAGAATTCAGGATTCAGGTTTGGCAGAGACAAGAAATGTTTCTTTTTATCATAGCAGAGATTATGGGATCTGTCTTCTAGGACAGTGTAGTTCACTGAAAATCAACCGTTGTTTCAGGAGAATATGTTAATCTGAAAAGTAAGTTGATTTTCAGTGGGGGGCTGTATTGTATTATTTCTCAGAAAACATAACTCTTTGCTTTTTTTCTCCATAGTATTCAAACCAGCCTGGGACCCACCAAGCCTCCTATGTAATTAGTACAAGTTCTTTCCACACGTTTAAAGTGGCTGATCTATGAAACTAACCATTCCCTTCCTTCTAGTGCCTACTTAAGAATGTGTAGAGCTATACTTCCACTTCCCCATGCATATGCATGGTGTGGTACTTAATTACATACAGGGAATTAGCTTTGTTTTATTAATACAAAATTTTCTCATAATGTTTGATTCCCAAAATAGTGATTAGTGCACATGGGCACACCTTTTATATGATGGGACCTTTAATTGTATGTGTATGTCTCCTGTTAGTCGTTGAAATATATATTATTTGAGTACTGCATTAGGTATCTGCATGTTCTTCTGTATATTATGGAATAATATGTACAAATAGCAAATACACGTCATGAAAGAAACCTTCAATGAAACATTTTTTAAATTAAATTTTGATTTATTTTTTAGATGGACATGCAAAGCCTCCTTGATGATCAAATGAAGCAAAAACTGTGTGGGCAGGAGCATGCTCGTCAAGCCACCAATTTGGAGAATAGCAAGAGGCCCTCCACACGACGACTCTTTGGTCTCTTCCAGCGATGATCACCACCAATACCATACAGTGACATCCAGACTTGCCACCAAGAGACTAATGAAGAAGAGCCACATGTATGCTTTGAAAGTCAAATTGACTCTGTGGGTTTTTGTGTTTGCAGAAATGTCCATCAGAAATCAACTCGATGGAAACAGGGGTTGGTTAATGATTCCAGAGCACCAGGCTCTGTAGCTGCAAATAAGGTCAACACTAAAGGAATATTTACAAAAATCACAGTATCCCACTGTCTAAGACAGAGACTCAGTTTTGACGATAATGCAGTGATCAAAGTGGGGTATTCAGGGAAACAAATAAAACATAAATCGTTTAGTGAACATGCAAAGTTGAAAACACGAAGGAGATTACAGAATAGTGATAGATGGGAAGTGTTTCCATTTAATTGTAATGGTAACATAGTGTCAGGTGTATGTATACTTTTATTCTTAATTGTCATGTTCCCCATTTTTATACATATTTCTTTATTTATTTTCTTCTTAAATTGTGTACTAAACAACAGTTATATGCATCATTGTAAATAGGCAAAGTAAATCTCATTTTAGTTTTTAAACTCCACTGCCCAGCTAATATATAATCACTAGACTGTGATAACATCGGTACTGGGGCAGTCTTACAGCAGTAATGGTTACTGAGCCCTAAAATATATAATTATTTTATTCTTGGTTGCTCCCTGTAACATGGCAGCCATTCAGCATTAATGATAAATTTGTGTCTACACTTAAATCGTTTTGCATCAAGTACATGGGTAAATATTTTTAAAATCATGTAAGGAACTTAAAGGCATATGCCATTAAAATTAATACTGGGGGAGGTGTGCTATGATTTGATTCACTTGTATACATAAAACAACGAATTCGTACAGCTTGGACATTTAATGAGAATGTATATAACGTGTATATTGTAGCTGGCACTTGTGAAAGAGACGCTAACTGAAATAAGAGCACTTGTGATATGATCTAGGCACAGCCAAGGTGCTTTCTTCAGAATTGGCAATGTCAGAAATCATGCTGTTATTACAGTAAATATTTTATTTGTTGTGTTATTTAAATATATTAAGTGCTTGGTTATAAAGTAACCTGTATGTTTCCAATTTCAGACTTGGACCAGCCTTAAAATGACAAAGCCATTTGTAAAATATAGCAGATTAGAATATGAGGTACAGCTGGTTAAATTTATGATGGCCAACAGATTTACAGGAGCGGGTTCTCTTAGGATTTTCTTGGTTACTGGGACATTAATTTGGAAGTTATTACCACTATTTACTCATTATAGAAGTTGTAGGAAGAAGTCTTTTCAGAAAATAAAATTCATTTCACTTTGCCACCAACATTTGGTCCATTATACTATGTGTGCATATCTATAGCATGCACACTATAATAGTTAAATTATTAACAGCATTTATTTATCTTGTTAAAGGACAGTAACTGTGAATTGTTGAATGCCACTTAATGTAGTCATCTGTTCCTGAACTACACGTGACAGGAATAAAACCAAATGGGTTTCTTCCTGAGGCACCCACTCAAATTTCCAGCTATCTTGTCATATCTTTCATGGATTTCCTCAGTCTCTGCAAGCAAATGATGGGGTAGTACCTTAAATCAATATAATTAATCAAATCTCAGTAGATTAATTATGGAATACTAGCAAGTCAGCTGGCTGCCAAGTAACCAAGTGCTTAAATATAATCTTTTTCAGATTCTGTTTTTCAAATAAAGTATTATTTATTTTGCATGAAATATTTCTTCTGTGAAATGTGATTTCATAGTTATAAGTATTACACAAATCAATTACATAATTTATTTGAATGTCATGGATATTCTGATCAGCATTTATGTATAGTATATTTAAAGCCATTAAATTGGGAAGTATTTTATTTTCTCAAGTACCGAGTCCATAGGATATGCAAGTTTTAGTACCAGAACAGTCAATCTGTGATTCATTGTCTACATCCTTGTCTGTCCTCTTTAAAATTCCTGAGATGATTATGATCAAAATTGTTATAAACAAAACATTGTATTAACCTCAATTTTTAAATAGTACTTCAAATTTGTTGCATGAGATAGTTTCTAGTCAACTGCAAATGAGATTTTTATATAAATTTCAGACAAACTAATTCAAATGTATCACTCATTCATTCACTTCTGTCTTTAATGCAGCTTAAAATGTTCACAGTCTCTCCTTAAATTAAATTAACATTAAAATCACAGTCAATTACTATATGCTTCGTTCCTACTTGGCCATCTTCAAGAAACTGTTCACTTTTCGAAACTGTCACACTGCACTTGATCTGAAGTCCATATATTTTGATGCTATTGCATTATCTTTGTTCACATTAAAATACATTTGCCTGAGAACAAGTGAAGTACACTCTACTAGTGGGGACATACATGTGAAGTGGGCACAAATACGGATGCTGCAAGTGGAAAATAGCATGGGAATGGAGAAAGAGTTTTGTTCTCAAACAAATGTATTTTAGTGTGAACAACGATAATGCAATAACATTGAAATATATTGACTTGAGATTATTGCAGTGCAACAGTTTTGAAAAGTTTGTAATTGCCTGAAGATGGCCAAGCAAAGGTAAAGGTATCCTTGTAACAGGATGTGGAGGTCCATAGGGTTGTAGATGTCAAGGCTCCCACATTTTCTGGACAGTGGTCTCACAGATGGCGGTAAGGTTTTCAGCCTTACATGCCGGCCTCCCTTTACCCCCAAGGAGAATTACTGGTACTCATTTCTGTTAGAGGCTTGGAAGGATTAAGTAAATTGAAAAAATCCAGTGATCTCATCAGCAATCGAACCCATGACCTTCCAGCTTGTAGCATAGTGCCTCAACCAACTACACTACCACATACCCCCAGATGGCCAAGTATGGCTGAAACATATAGCAATTGATTGTGAATTTAATGTTATTTTAAATTAGGTAGAGATTGTAAACATTTTATAGTTACGTTAAGGATGGAATTGAGTGATACATCAATGCAACAGGATGCTGAAATACAGTATTAATTCAAATGTCATAATTTTTCCAGTGTTATGCAATCCTGTTTTTTCCCCCATAATAATATTTAAAAGGAGTATTCAGATTATTGTTAAATGAATACAGTTGTGCCCAGAGCTTAAAATAGAAGCACCTCTAATTTTTAATTTTTCCCTGTTAGTGCACCACTGAAATTCATGACTTATAGATGCAAAAGATCAATAGTTCTTACCATATTATTGCAAGTTTATTTTTAATATGTCATGACATGGTATTTTAGTAACTATAGAATCAGAAAATGTGGTTTGAAGTAAAGAATGTATGTATATGTCTCCTCTCTTGAATGTATAAATTAATGCAGTTTGAAGTCACCATCTCACAATGAAATTCCAGAGGATGGAGATAATTTTATCAAGAGGTAGGATTTGAGTTAGGGAGGAAGATGATCAACATTTCATTGTTATACCAGTGAGTGGTTTCCTGAAATTTGGATATGGAATTAATAAATCACATGGGAACTCTTCTATTTTATACATTTTCAGATCCTTAAATTATATGATCTAATGCTTTACTTTGTTTATTTATTTATATGAGGAAAGTATAAAGGGAAGACAAGAGTGGAGAAATTTCCAGATATTTCAAAACTTTTAGGAAATGTGCCAGACATTGATTCAAAAGAAGGAAGGACCAAAGAAAATAATAACATAATTTCTATGATTTAGAATTTCATATTAGCCATCATTCCAATATGCTGAAATCAAATTTAAGTGCTTGAGAAATAAATCTATGATGTGATAATGTATCACATTGAAGTCCATCCATTCTTGGTCAAATTTCACTTAGATTAGAATTTTACACCCAAAGTGCAATTAAATGTTCTTGCAGATGCTTTAAGTTGTTAAACTATGCATTTAATAAAGGAATAAATGTGTAGATTGTATTAAATTTGTGTTGTTGTTTGTAGTTTAATTAAATGTTAACCTAAAAGTCTCATAATTTTATAAAATCTTATAGGTAGCATAAATCATACATGAATTCTTTATACTTAAGGGAATTAGGTTCAGTTAAGAACTATGTAATGAAATCTCAGGAGAACTGTCAATTAAGGAATCTGTTAGCAACATTAACCTGGATAGATGGAATTAGGAATGGGAATTACCTAAATTGCATATTTAGGGAAAATTTTTAGAAATTTAGAGTATGTTACAAATATGGAACAATTAACTAACAACTGCTTAATAAAAACTAATGAACGATTATGATTTACTGCGTGGAATTTAGTAGATTGAAATCTGTAAATATGTCTAAAAGTTTATATGGAAGACAAGCTAGTAACAAGATTCCCTTTATCTGACGTGTATTTATAGCACATTTGTGTACTGCGGGACAGTTAGAAATTAGGTAAATACATCAAAACAAATTGTGCTATATGGAAACTTCCTTGGTGATAAATAGTTAGAACATAAAAAGTTCATAGTTTATGACATGTTCTATATCCATCTTTGGATCTCTTGAACTTACAATAAATACAAATAGTGGAATCTGAAGCGTCGCTGTTTCAATGTTATTCTCCTCATATTCTTAAGTCTCCCATAGATTCATCATTTTTGGTTTCTATCCAAAATGTTAACTTACGTTCTTTATTTCTTCCTATGTGTATATGTGTAATATGTATCCTGTCTAGTTCACCTTGTGTGGACAGTGTGATGCTTGCACCAATGGCTGTGTTACTTTGGTCCTGGAATTTACTCAGCTTCTAACAGATATGAGTACCAGGAATCTTCCTGGGGGATAAAGGGTGGCCGGTGTGTAAGGCTGACAACCTCACTGCCATCTGTGAGCCAATTGACCTGAATATGTGGGAGTCTTGATGTCTCACAACCCTATGGACCTCTCTGACCTGTTACAGAGATAGTTTTACCTTCTTTTTTATAGTGATTATAAATGATGTTGAATATATGATTTTGGAGATCAAAGAGTACTTTGAAGAAAGCAGTCTTCTGGGATTTGGCACTGTGTATATGTGGTGTTAACCGACGTTTCGGAGGAACGTATCGCCTCCATCAGACTGCTCCATCATTGCAGACTGCTTTTACCGGTTCTCACGGTCTCTTCGCTTGCAGATTTCTTATATTTTTTCTTCTACCCTGAAGATGGAGGCGATACGTTCCTCCGAAACGTCGGTTAACATCACATATACACGGTGCCAAATCCCAGAAGACTGCTTTCTTCATAGTCACCACCATGAAAGCCTCAAATCTTACAAAAAGTACTTCGTTCATTTGTTCATTCTGTTGATGTTTTGCTTCTGAGTTAGTAATTCTCATGTAATGGGAAGCAATTTACAACCAATGATGGAATGATGGTGAAGATGATGATTAACAGAGTAACTGTATTGGAGAAGGGATGTGGAAGGCAAGTAAGAAATGCACACTAGACCTGGCCAGTCTCATACCCCAAGAGCTTTGGTATTGTAGTCTGTCAGACTGTCTCTCAACTTTAAGGTTCACAACCTTCTTGAAATAAATTTTATTTGTTACATCTTCAAATTTATTGCACCTTTCTCTTACAGTCACCTAATATATTGTATCTTATTTGTTTATTTATCAATGCTGTGAGCAGCTTTGCCTAGGCAGTGTTGATTGTTGAGGGAAATTTAGTAAATAAAGAAGTAGAAAGGATATGGAAGGAACTGGTCGTGGCCTACTTTGAGGTACTACACCAGAATTTGTCTAGAGGAACTAAGGATAGCAGCAAAAATCCCCAGCCAATTTGAGTTTCAAATTCAAGTCACAAGTGTTACCACTTGAGGCAGCTTCCTTAAAGGAAATTGTTATATAATATTTTTAAGGCCAGAAGTGGCCGCAGTACAAGGGACTTAGTCCCACCCCACTAGCAATAAGAATAATAAGAATGTATAATATTTTTAGAAAGAAAAATTCAGTTATTGGTAATTAATTTCTGAGTTCTAAAAACTCATATGTATATATATATATAACTTTATATAACTTATAAATTGTTGAGAAGACAGATGTTTTAGTCTTATGTTGATGGAAAAGGGACATTGAATTGTTTTGCCCAATCCTGCAGCAGGTGAAGTGAGACGCTTCGTCCTCCACACACGATGATTACAGCAGGTCTTGATTCCAAATGTGGAAGTTTTCCTTCAGCATGCAGTCTTGTCAACACACCACAGTATACAGATGCCAGGGAAGCCCCACATCCTGGTTCCACTATAGTGCACTCATCATCTGGAACATATTTTAAATTTTGTGAAGATGTGACTGAAAGAAGTTCAAATGACAGAATTCAGAATTTTATTAATGATGACCGTGTTACTGCCGTAAGTTATATAGAATAGTATTTTTTTTGTTGCTAGTGGGGTGGCACCAAGTCCTTTGTACTGCGGCCACTTCTGGCTTATTGTACGAGCCCCAGATGATAGGTGAGGGTGATTGTGAAGCAATTGGTGGAATGAAGATTAGCAGGGGAAACCGAAGTACTCGGAGAAAACCTGCCCCAGCGCCACTTTGTCCACCACAAATCCCACTTGACCAGACCCCGGGATCGAACCCGGACCGCCGCGGTGGAAAGCCAGCGCCTCTCCGCTTGAGCTATGGCGTGGCCTATATAGAATAGTAAGTAATCCAACTGACCCTTTGTCATGCCATTTAAATTCCAATATCCTGAAGATTTCAGACCATGTACACAATTACTATACAAGCATACTAAGCATGGTTGAGGACATTTTGCTACGTTCTAGTGCCTTAGGAGCAACAAAGATTTTAAAAAGTTATAAGGGCTTTCACAATGAGAGGAAACATGACAATGCCACAGGTAGGCTGGCTACTCATTCAGCCATACCCCTCATTACCTTCTGCTAGCTCCAATCGGTCTGCTGATCAGAAGGGAGAATGTCCACACAAAAACAGCACAAGCTCATTGGGTAACAAACTTGGGTTCATTTTATGGATATCCTATGTGAAGTCATGAAAAAGAGTAATATAAATGTTTTATTTGAGAAGAATCAGCCGAATCAGTCCTTTGGTTTAGACCATTTTGAATTTGAAATACTTCAGAGAATAAATGTTCCAAATTCAAGAACTGCCTAAGTAAAAATATGTCTTAAGAATTTCCTGAAGGAACAAAAATCTGTTTTAACATTATTTAAGAATAATTGAAACAAACCTGCAAATTTTATGCAACTTCTAATTGCCTGAGCATCTGTTACAACTTCTGAGATGACGTTAAACTGAGGTAATATATCCCACAGGTATGGATTAATTACGCTGCTTCCCAGGCAAATAGCAATACTATAAACACAAATCAGTAAATATTTTAAGTTCAGTCTTCATAGTTGCAGATGATATCATACATTTATAAATAAAAACAGCTATTTCACTGAAATTTTCATCTTTTAATTAAAAGTAACATGTGAAGTGTTTGATTTTGGTTTATTGATCCAGGATTATTATATACACATGTTATAAAAGAGTAAATAGCCCAAGATTTTTAATGATGAATAGGAAGAAATTGGTCATGGCATATTTTAAGGAACTATTGTAGAAGCTGGGTGGAGTAACTGAAGAAAATTAAAACCAACATACCCCATTGACCCTGATGGGTCTTCAATGCAACTGTCCCGCCCACTGATTTTCTCTAACAGAAACCTATGTATATGCAGAAACTCAGCCACAATGCACATTTTGACCCTGATGGTGGAGGCAGGATGTACCTCTGAAATGTTGCTGCTATTCCACACAACCACATGACATAACCACCAAAGAACAGAACTAATGTTAGAATGGATGTAAGAAAAATAAGTGTGAGGTTGCGGTCTGGTTAAAATGGCTCAGGATAGAATCCAGTAATGTGATTTATTCGTTTTAGTGACACACTTTTGATATCCAAAGTGTGCAATGTTTATAACTCATAAATATTACCTGGTGATTTTGTCAAGAACTGTTATCTTCTTCGCTGTTACTGAAAGATTAAGACAGTGAGTGCCAACTGTCTCCATAGCAACAACTGGAACATCTTGCCAACCTGAAAAATTAATAATTCATTACACACACACACACACATATATATATATATATATATATATATATATANGTGAAAGAAACCTGCTCTCTCCAGTCCCTTTAAAACACCAGTGAGTAGACCCCCATCGCCAACAGCAGCTACAATAACACTTGGCTTGTCAGAGAGCTGCATCACAAGTTCATCAACTACAGTTGAATGGCCAGTCCTGAAAACGGAGGAATTCTATGTTATAAAGACCATTTCATTCCTTCTATCTATTTACATGCATTCCCAATTTCTTGTGGCTTAACAGGTGCTGCAGAAAGAGTACAAAATAAATATCTGCAGTGTAATCCTCAATAAAAGGCGGTTAACTTATGGTGACAAAGGAAGGAAATGTGAGAAAAATAGTGCAAAATATTTTGCATGGATTTTCATGTATACATTGTATGAGTCAAAAGAAAGAACTACGTGACCTATTAAATAGTATTATAAATGGTAATATCCAGTATTTTTTTTTCTAAAAGCATGTTTGCCAGCACTTGCACACTCAGTTTCACTTTCATAGGGGTACTGGTAATTATTCCAAAGTGATGTGGAAACATTTAATTTAAAACTCATGTCCAGTGACAGAGAGTTCATATTGACTGTGTTGGCGTGACTAACACTGAAATATACATGCAAAATTGTTTCTGTGGTGGTTCATTGGTACTCCACATGCTTGTATGAGGAGTGGTCAGGTAATGCTTTTTCTGCCACCTCCAGTGAGCCCATCCACCACAGGCTTATTAGTCAATTCGTTTTTGCTTTCATTAGACATTTGTGGGTGCAAGTGCAGTTAGAAGAGATATGATGTAGTAGTGGTTTGAGGGAAGGAGGGAGTGCATACCATATTGGCCAAATGAGCAATGTTAATGCAATTCAGTTGCTTTGTGCTTGCAGAACATAGAAGCAACCGGCAAGCATGCAAGAAAGAGTAGGATGGCAAAGAGTGTATTTCTGCTCGAGGATACTATGATATCCTTCAAGTAATTGACAAATTTTTATTTCGAAATATTTTCAGGAGTATTATTGCAAGACAAAAACCTTTTCTAAATTAGGTAAATCAGTAGTAATGGTATGTATTTATGATCAAGAAAGTGGAAGAATTTCAAAATATTATACGAGAGGTTTGAAAAGGTTTTGATCAGAAAGTGAAAGCCTCTCACAGAGAGCACTTAGAGCTCTTAGAATTGCCAACTAAGGGATACTGAATTCCAATAATTAATAATGACTGAAACATTTTTTATCAGTAGCTGTACTGTGAAGTAATCCAATCTAGGACAGGACAGTTGAGCAATCAATTCTCAAAAGTTCACAAATTAAAGTTTGTTTAAATTCTAGAATTTGGAAACTTTAAATATCACTCAGAAAATATTCCAGCTACTGCTTATGATTTGGTACTGAAATTGTATAGTTGATATTTTTATTCTTTTTTTTTCTGAAAACTGAACATTCCATTATTTATTCATTGCAAGGATTTTTATGTAGCAATATTTCAGACCTGTTCAAATATTTGATCACTTCAAATCTGTGTATGGCATTACCAGCAGTCATAAAGTTATCTTCTCTTTAATAACCATGCCAACAGCTAATGCATCTACGTGTATTAAGTGGTCATTTTCAGCTCTGAAAAGGGTTCACTCTTATCTATGCAGAATGCAGACTCAGGAGAGACACAAAGTTATCAGTAATGGAAACTGATAAGAAAATCCTTCAAGATTTAGAAAGCACTTCCCACTTCTATGACTTCATGACAGATATTTTCAAGATAAAAACTGAAAACGATTGAAATGCTAGGTATAATAAAAATAGATGGGCATGGCATGTAGCATGAATTGGGATGAAGAGGATTGCATATAAGATATTTGTGAGAAAGCCAGAAGGAAAGAGACAACCAGGAAGACCAAGACGTACATGGGTGGACAATGTTAAAATGGATCTTGGAGAGATAGACTGGGGTGGTATGGACTGGATCGATCTGGCTCAGGATGTGGATTAATGGAGGGCTTTAGTGAACATGGTACCGAACCTTTGGGTTCCATAAAATGCTGGAAAGTTCTTGAGTAGCTGCACAATTGGCGGCTTCTCAACAAGGGCTGAGCTCCATGTAGTTAGTAAGTCACTAATCATTTTTTCTTAGTTTCCGTTTACTTCTTCTTTCATTTCTTAACTTCATTAGTTTTGGGCTCAAATTTTTATAGTTGTCTTATATAATATACCATGTATATACTTGATTGAAAAATGTAATGACCTCCTTCTGCAATGCGATATGGCTAACATTTTTGAAAATGTCATGCTCCACCACTGCTCATGTCTATATTTGCCAGTGTACTTACCAGCTAATAACAAACTTCTAGAAGTAAGAATAAATTCAAATGAAAATATTAACAACTTATCATTGATTATAATTTCTTCTTGCACTGAATAAAACGTCTTTTAGAGACTCTGGAATTTCCCTGTGGTTTGAGCTCTTTAAACTTCTTTACTGAAGCAGCAGTCATGTTGATAGATATTCGTTTTTGTATTATGTACTTTTAATCAAGTATGATGTCAATATACGTGTATAAACATAGTTTTTAACATTTGAAGCTTTAACATAATTTTGCCATTAATAATAATAATGATAATGATAATTATGATGATAATAATAACAACAACAACAATACTAATAATAATAATGAGGATTTCTGGATGAAGAGAGAAATGTATGAGAGTTATGCAAATGTTTCTTATGAATGCTGAAAGAGTCATATAGCAATTTTGGTATTGTTTCTGTACATAGAATATTACATGCACACCTTTGAATTCCATCAATGTATATTTTCCTTAGGGGCATTTAGATCCATCTGTTATAGATGGAAATCTCAGCTGTCATTGTCATATGGATATTGTCAGATGATTCTGAGCCAGGGCCTAATAAGCTTACTCTGGTGGCAACTTTTAAGAACACTGCAGTTAAAGCATAGCAATGAAAAGATGTAGGAACACTTGAACCCACTGCAAAGAGGAGGGTAACAACACTGTTAATAACTGTATATAAATGATCTCCCACTAAATGTACAAGGTGCAGAAATGGTATTGGTTGCAGACGATATTAATGTACTGGTTATTGATAAAGATAAAGATGTAGCTCAACAGAAAATAAATAAGATCATGAAACAGCTCGAAACATGGTTTCAGGTAAATAACCTTTTAATAAATATTAAAAGACAGGTGCTATGTCAAATAGGTTTGTAGTTAGACCGCAGATACTCCATAATAACTTGGAAATTGCTTACTCATCGGAACTGAGATTTTTAGGTATAGATATTATAGAAAACCTTAAATGGAACAACCACATCCAGTCATTATGTTCAAAACTTAGTAAAACATCCTATATAATTAAATCACTAAGAGGAGTTTTGAGTCCAAATATGTTAAGAAGCATATATTTTGGAAAGTTTAAATCGTTATTGAGATATGTAATAATATTTTGGGGGGGTGAAGGTGTTAGTATAAAGGTATTTAAAATGCAGAAGAGGGTGTTACGAATAATTAGTGGACTTGGTAAACAAGAGTCATGTGGGCAAATTTTTAAAGATTATGGCATCCTCACAGTCATATCTTTGTATATCTTGGAGGTGTTGTATTACATAAAAAAGCACAAGCAGATTTGATCCGAAATATAAATGTTCATAGTTATAATACAAGAATAAACAAGGATTTTCATGTTCAATTCTGCAGAACTACATTATTTAAAAAAAAGTGTGGTAAATATGGGGATACAATTGTATAGTAAGGTGCCAAACAAAATAAAAAACTCGGTGGGTTTTTCAAAGACTTAAAAATAATTTTTATTGAAGCATTATTTTTATACGATAAATAAATTTATTAGTTTTAATAAAAAGTGGATGGTGCAAGTACTTATGTTTGGATGTCGTAGCCGTTCATGAGCTGTATATAGTAGTTTGTATATTTTTTGGAATGTTGCATTTATATATTGCTTATGATTGTAACAAATGTTGGCAGTATGCTTGTAACTTTGTAGATTTATTTTGTTAACTTGTATTACCGAATGAAGTGTCCAAATGTTACTATGTAGCGAAACGGATGAAATACAATACAATACAATACAATACAATACAATACAATACAACAGTAAGTGAGGCTAACCCAGTTATAAACACTGGGGTTGTTTAATTTCTTCAGCGAATAATTTTGCCCTTTTATCTTTGAAATTTGACTATTTCTATTGAAAATCACTTACATTATAATATATACTACCACTTTATATGAAAAAATAAAAATATAATTTTGAAATTTGAAGTTTAGCATAGTCACTGATGCTTACCAAACTCTTGGATCCATGGGGTCTATATATAGGGCTCCACATTTTTTTGCTTCCTCCTGTGCAAACATTGCAGCTGCGGTGACATCGGCTCCCTTAACCTGAAGAAAATTATTATGTGGAAAATTGTCAGTGATTGACAAAATAAGAAGAATGAATGAATAAAATACAATTATGGAAAAATAAAAGAAATTGTTTGTAATGGTTTTGGCATTTAATGTGAATGGAGGAAGGTAGGTAGCCACAAGAATAAACAACTGGACTCTACCAGGAGGCCAGAGGAGAGGATAATGAGGGAAACCATGTAAAGAAGGAATTCTACAAAATATGATTAATAGACTAGGTCCCTTGTCACAGGGTCATGGCGCCTCCTCACGTTGCAGATGGAGAAGACACCCTCCAGGTATGGAGGGAAGATGCAAGTATATTGAACAAGCAATCACAGACAGCCGACAAGGGGTGGTCCTACAGCTTGGGGGTTGGGCGTGGGGCTAACAACTCCTCACCATAAAAAATAATCGTGTTATGAAAATGAACACAAAGCCTCAGACCTGGATGGATCCTCTGCCGTCTCGTCACCAAAATGCAGGGCAAAATCATGACATAACTATAGGAAACAGATGTTTTGAAAATGTGGCACACTTCAGATATTTTGGAACAACGATAACAAATCAAAACCTGATTCAGGAGGAGATAGAACACAGGTAATGCTTGCTACCATTCAGTCCAGAACCTTCCATCTTTTCGTGTGCTGTCCAAAAACATAAAAATTAGAATATGTGAAACTATAATTTTGTCTGTGGTTCTGTATGGGTGTGAAACTTGGTCTCTCACATTAAGCAAGGAACATAGACTGAGGGTGTTCGGGAACAGGGTGTTGAGGAGAATATTTGGACCGAAGAGAGATGAAGTGACAGGAGGTTGGAGAAAACTACATAATGATGAGCTTCATGACTTCATAACTCTTCTCCAAGTATAATTAGAATGATCGAGTCAAGGAGGATGCAGTAGGCAGGGCATGTAGAACAAATGGGGGAGATGAGAAATGCATATAGGATATTTGTTAGAAAGGCAGAAAGAAAGACACCACTGGGAAGACCAAGGCATATGTAGGTGGACAATATTAAAATGTTCATAAACTTCTTTGTGGAATACAAACATATATACCAGGATAATTTTAAGATCTCTCATTTAGAAATAAGGTCTGAACTGGATTGAAATATTCCAGAATAAGATTCAATTGTTAGATTTTGTGAACAAGGTGATGAAACTGTGAACTGTGTACAAGGAAGGATTTTTGATTGGGTTTTTATTCCTATGAATGGTAACTAATCTGTAAAAACTGCTGACAGTGTAACTGGTAATTTTTCATCTGTTGAATATTTAATTGGAAAATAAGATGCCCTTTTACTGATATTACAGGATTTCATGTTTTGCTTTTAGGGCTAAGAAAGATATTATAGTAGACTTACTGAAAATTTTGGCGGTGTGTATACTTTTTGCTAATGTTGTTAAAAGATGTAATATTTCACACATTTTTGTAATCTTTACCACAACTTGAGCTCCATTCTTTTGCAGCCGTTCTGCAGACACAAGTGGGGAATTCTCTGGCAGAAAAACAGTGCATGGAATTCCAATAATTTGTGAAGCAGAGGCCACAGCCAGGCCTGTATTGCCACTCGATGTCACCACCAAGTACTGGCAACCTTCTTGTTTCAACTGGAAATACATGAAAGCATTCATTGAAACTTTCTGAGGTAATTTAAAGTAATTATGGAGGAGCGAATAGATTCAACAGCAGAATCTGAGACTGTTTAATGAAGAATGAAATTTTTTTATGAAATATGTATACAGTTACTGTTACTAGACTGTGATTTTTTGTGAAGGCAGTGGAGATAGGGTTTTGTGCTTCATGTTAGTGCTAATTTTATTTTTCTTCATCACAATATTTAGAATAGTTCTAGGATCAATTAAATTTTCAGTGAGTACTGAGAGATCAGCACTGCCTATTTCCATAAATTTGAACTTCATTCACTAACTTTACTGTTTATCTGCCTGAATTGTAGTCTGATCTTATCAGTTCATAATTAAAGTAACCTATGTTAGGGCTAATAAAATGTATTTCTTACCTTCTGGCACAGATGTCCAAAACCACGCATCTTGAATGAACCAGAAACTTGACAGTTTTCCATCTTCAGGTACACATTCTTGCACATAGGAAGATGCTTAGCCAGAGCTACACTTCGAAGCAGGGGTGTCACAATATGTAAAGGCCTTTCATCTGAGTCTTTAGAGGACATTTTTTTTAAGTATTATACAAAATGTGAAAGTGAAATTTAGCCTATGTTGATGCAAGCTATGGGTTTTCTCCTCTAATCAGTCAAATAATGATGGGGAATGTATAAGTTCTGTGTGTTGTGGAGAAGAGACTCTTTTCGAAAGTGGTTCTGTAATTACTATTTATTACATATAATACTAGTGTGAAATAAGTTCAAGTCTTCTGCCCAATCAAACGTAAAGACTTCGAAGTAGAACGCATCCAGTATAAATTACATAAGTCATTTGTAAAATTAGAAGATGGTATGATGTCCACAAAAAGTCTCTGGCCTTGAACTGTACTGCCAAAGTTAGAACAGTGGTTTTGTTACACAGTCACAGTTAGGAGATACATAGCAGCTGCTCCTTCAAAATCAACCTTGTAACAATTTAACCCACTGAGACCTTATCTACATACTTCATGGTCTTGGAATTCTGTTCCAATGTCCAAAAGATAAAACTCAGTGGATTCAAATGACATGGAGGATGGTTGATGAGGCTTATTAGGACATACACAGTATTTAATCAATTCAAATATTTATTAATTGCTAGTTTTCCTGCTCTTATTTGAGTAATAGTTTTATATGTGTCAAATAGAATTCTATTGTGACAAGTGCTCCTGGTCATTATGACCATGCATAATATGCAAGATATATTTTTTCACAAAATTTGCTTTACTAAATATGGACATCTCTTATTTCATACAGAGTATTCTTACAGTTCCTGCTGTGGTCTTATAATATGGCAGTCTGTTGTAAATCTCTTTCAAATATAAATAATTATAAAACTATCTGTACATCATATATAGTCATGATGTATTCATTTTCTTATTACATGTTTCAGCCTATGACAAGATCATAATCAAGTGGTCTCATAAACTAACAAAGGGACTCAGTCAATTGAATCTCTCTGGTCTGGCTACAGCTTTGCAGTATGGTAGTGGAACCTGCTCTGATTTCTTGGCCAGAATATTAGATGTCCACCATTTCTATGTAGATCATTTTTCTTTCCATGTTATTTGCTATCCTTATGCTATAGAAACACAGATGCATCTGTTGGCTTTCAGCCAGCATAGTGACGCTTGGCTCTGAATCCAAATGGGAATCATGATCATATTTTAGTACATATTATTGGCAATTACAATTTAGGAAGTGGGGCACCCTTTTCAGCAGGAAGAGGGGTCTGTTACTGAAAGTGAGTGTCACTTCTGCTGCATCATAACATACCATGGCATATAAATATCACTACACTGTGAAACCTATCCATCCCTACACTTTGAAACATAATCATCACTACACTATGAAACACAATTATCACTACATTATGGAATACAATCAACACTACATTATACAGATTTCCAGTGGACAGTGAGTAGGAGATGAAATAATTATGGGGTTAAACAGAGAAGCAAGGTACTATCTGGAAAAGATTTACTGTGGTTAATGGAAAAGGCTGTTGAAGAATGGTTTGGTGATGAGGTAGTCCTGAGAAGAGCGGTGAAAAATGTTTCAGTGATTGCATAACTAAGGAAAAGAAGTGGTGAAAAATATTTTGGTGACAAGGTAGTCCTGGAAAGAGGGGATGATAAATGTTTCACTGATTCCATGTTTAGGGCAAGAAACTATGGAAGAGATTGTAGTAATCGTGTATTAAGGAGAAGATGTGATGAAGAAGTTTTTAATGGCCACATGATTAGGAAAAGAAACGTTGAACAAGGTTTTAGTGACTATGTGGATAGGAGAAAGTATTTGACACGTGGAAAAGAAGTCAAGTGTTGAAAGAGTTGATGGTATTCACTATGTAGGCCTGTACCTAATTGAGTCCAGTGCTTATTTCATCTCCTTTTACATTAATTATGTGGTCACTGAAATATTTTCCATCACTTCTTTTCAGGACCACCTGGTTGCCAAAATATTCTTCATCACCTTTTCTTGTTGCTCTCATAGTTGCTCCCTATTGGATAGCATCCTGGCTCTCTGCAGTGTAGTATTTTCACTAGTGATTCTCACTGTTAATAGTAGATTTATATCAACAGCAAATATACATAAATGTGAGATTAGTGGGTCTCAGAGTGGTAGGGATCAAGATTAGAGTCATCTGAGGTGTGATACCATGTAGTTTGGTACATAGGTGCCAAAATTTCAGAGAAACCTAATGCCTCTGTCATATAACCTGAAGATGGAGGCAGCAGGTTTGTATGAAACATTGGTGCCCATTCAAAAAATAAAACTACAAGGAATTGCATCCTAAAAGGACAAAGTCTAAGTAAATATCAAGGTCAATGAAGGACATAAAGAACACACTTGAAAACTTTGTATATTTGTTATGGAATATATAGCATCTTAAGCTTTCCAAAACTATATTTCTTCTGATTCACAGGGCCAGAAGGCCATGTTAACTGGGTCCCTTGGCATCACAGCATGACTCACTTGTAGGTTGGTGATGGGTGACATGGCCTATAGATATGGGTAGTAGCTTTGAAAATAATGAATAAGCTGGTGTAGACAGCCGACTAGGGGTGGTTCTCCAGCAGAAATGGTACACAGGACCGCGGACATGTACAGATTCTTTGGAATGACCGAAGCTAATATGGGCATGAGATTTGTCACATTGAACGTACAGGGTCTTTATTGGCCAGGTTAATTGATAATCTTAGAGAAAGAAGATGGATTGATCTGGCTTGGGATAGGGCCTAGTGAACGTAGTAATGAACCTTCGGGTTCCATAAAAGTGTTGGTAAGTTCCTGAGTAGGTGAGCGACTGGTGGGCTTCTTGAGAAGCTTAAGAAGCTAAATTAAGAAGGACTCAGCTCCTTGGAATTCGGTGCGGCAAAGGTTGGACAATCTATGGAGAGTGCTTCGTTTCCAACTGAGCTCTCGAATACGGCAGAAGTGCTACGCATGTTAGTCTACGTCGTCTACGTATAACGGTCGGTAAGTATTGGCGGTTCGGTATTACGCGCGGTGCGAAGTACGAACGAGTACGAAGTAGCGAAATTGAAATTTAGAAGTGGGTGCAGTGTTTGATTCTTGTCATTTAGTTAGCTGTATAGTGTTTCGAGCAATGTTGTAAGTATAATTGTTATTGAAGTAGTATAAGAGGTAGGCGAAGTGCGTCATCGGAAAGAGAATGGACAACACGCCTTTCCTCAAGCTAAATATGCCCCCATCGTAGCATTCCTAACATACCTAACCTCTCAGAGATTTCTTTTATCTTGAAGAAAGCAATTTTCTCGTGTGAGATATGAACAGTATGAGCTTCTTACAGCGGTCTTTCATTCATTTCCTTTATTTTCCATATATCTGTACAGGCAAAAAACGTAAGATGTGGAAATAGCCCCGTTGATAATAGATGTATACATGTGTTAAATTACATAAGTCACACAACTAAAATAATAACAATAATAATACACACACTAGTCAAGTAACATAGGCAATAGGAAAAAAAAGCAAAAACAAGAAGCTTATTGCAATTGTAATTACTAAACATAATTTAAAAAGTGCATTACTATAAAAATAATAGACGTATACATGTAATAAATTACATAAGTCACACAACTAAAATAATAACAATAATAATAATACAGACACTAGTCAAGTAAAATAGGCAATAGAAAAAAAACAAAAACAAGAAGCTTATTACAATTGTAATTACTAAACATAATTTAAAAAGTGCATTACTATAAAAACTTAGAATTAATACAATTTCACTCAGATTACCCAAATAATTAAATACTTTCTTTATTTCATTTTCCCATAAATCAAAAAAACATTGATACAGGACTCGTCAT